ATGATTTCATTTCTTTCTTTAGTTTCTCATTATCTTTAAACAATTCTATTAATTCAGTTTTTTGTTTCTTCATTTCTATTAATTCATTTTTTTGTTTTCTCATTGTAATTAAATATTTTATTTAAAATATTTTTTTTATTGTGAAAAAGATACAATAAACCAGCAAGATAATACTGTCGTATCCTCCAAAATGAGTAAATTGTTTATTTTAGTAACAAAGAATATTTAAATAGATTTTGATTGATTGATTTGACAGGTGACATATTTAAAGAAAATATTTTATTTAACTCATAGAAATTAAATACAGGATGAGTGAGGAGTATTTAAGTAAGAGAGAGATGATATTAGAGATGAGTTAGATATAGAGAGTAGCCCTTATGCAGGGAGTAAGGAAGACTTATGGATCAATGGAAAGACTTAATAAACTTTGTTCTAATCACTCCTTAGGTTTCAGCAAGATGTGCACATCTGCTATACCGCATGAGAATTATGGGAAGCCAAAGAGTGAATGGAGTAGAGATAATGAGTCAAACCAATTGATTGAACTGGTGGAACAATTGAAGATGGAGACAATCGATTACCCAACTTATATAGGAGATAGAGCTGGGCCAATTTTGAAGATAGAGAAGTTTGTAGATAGAAACAAGCAAAACATTATTGAATGGGGAAAGAAATTTAGATTAATTATGGATAGGTGTGAGATAAATGAGAGAGATTCCTTGAAACATTTATACTTATTAGTGGATGAGAAATACCATGGACTGTTAAATGGAAAGAGAAAAATAGAAACTGCCTTAAATTCGCTAATTAGCGAAAGTTATAACAAGGAAAAGTTTAACGAATTGTATGAAGAGTTAAAGAATTTGAAGGTAGGGAGGAGATCAAATATTAAAGAATATTATGAAAAATTTAGTGGAATATTACAAATAGCTGATTTATGTGTAAGTCCTAAAGAGAGATTTAACGATAGAGAATTAAGCGAATTGTTCTATTCGGGAATTCCCAAATGGATGCAATATGAATGTATAAGATTAGGAAATATGTCATTGAAGGATAAGGTAAGAATTTTATATCAGTTAGAAGTAAAACATCAAGAAGATTATCAGAAGGAAAGAAAGGGAAATAAGTTTAATGATGTCAATAAGAATCAATTACATAATACAACTGAAATTAGAAATAAGAAAGATGGAAGAAACTATAATGAAGAAAAGAAGATGGAAAAAATGGGAGTAATAGCAGAGGTAGATAAGGGACCTGATGAGATTATGCTCAATTGTGAAGTTAAGGAAATTGGACAATGTGAGGCATTATTGGATGCCGGAGCAAAACAAAATTTTATAAATGAGGAAATTTTGCAACGAAGTAAATTATTAAGAAAGACAAACCAAATGTTGATTAAGGTAGCAAATGGAGAAAAAGTTATGCTGAATGAGGAAGTAGAATTGTTAGTAAAATTTGATCAATTACCAGGAGTTGAATATAAGATCAATGCAATAATTTTTCCAAAACTAACTCATGACTTGATTTTAGGAATGCAATTTATACGGCAGAATAATGTTGCTATTGATTTAAGTACTGGTATATTACGAATGGATAATAAGTATGTAGAGATACAAGGAGTTAAGGAGGATAGTGTAAGTGAACCGGAGAATATGGTAGTAGACAATCTAAGAGTAATACAAGATGATGAAAGGATAGAAATGGTATTGAAACCTTTTAAGTTACAAAATCCTGAGTTTGGACTTTTGAGAGGATTCAAACATGAAATAAAATTAACGGATGAAATACCAGTGCAAGGAAAGGCATATGGAATGCCTCAGAGTTTACTTAGTGGGTTGCGAGAAGAAATAGAAGAACTTTTAAAACATGGTATTATAAGAAAAAGTAATTCTTATTATGGATTACCAAGTTTTGTTATCCAAAAGAAAAATGGGAAGGTTCGATTAGTCACCAATTTTATCGAATTGAATGACAAAACAATACCAGAAGTATACCCATTTCCGGATATGAATGATAAGATTATAAATTTAAGAAACGCTAAATGGTTTTCACAAGTAGACCTCGATCGAGGCTTTTATCAAATAGAATTAAAGGAAGAAGATAAACATAAGACAGGGTTTTTATTACCTATTGGACACTTTGAATATTGTCGTTTACCAATGGGATTAATAAACTCACCTAAAGCATTTCAAAGAGTAATGGATGAATTAATTGGACATTTAGAATATTGTGAAGTTTTTGTAGATGATATTCTAATATTTAGCAACTCATTCGAAGAACACCTTATTCACATCAGAGAAGTTTGTAAAATTATTTTAGATAGGGGTGGAAAAATTAATTTTGAGAAAAGTAAGTTTGGTTCAACTACTGTTACCTATTTAGGTAATATTATAGATAGTGAAGGAATAAAACCAATAGTTGACAAAATGATAGAATATGAACATAAGGTTATTAAAACGAAAAGAGGATTAAGAAAGTTCTTAGGAGTGGCTAATTGGTATAGGAAGTATGTGATGAATCTGAGTGAATTAACTAATAAACTGAATGAAAAATTAAAAATAAAGGATGATTTTAAATGGACTAAAGAAGATGAGGAAATGAAGAATAAGATAATAGAAGCAACTCGTAAATATGAAAAACTTATGCATATCAATCCAAATGAAGAATTTTTTTTAGAAACGGATGCATCAGAAAGGGGAATTGGAGGTGTTTTGAGACAAGCTCATGGAATTGTAGGAATATATTCAAGAAAATTACAGGGTTCAGAACTAAATTACAGCATTCCTGAAAAGGAATTATATGCAGTTATAAAATCAATGAATCATTTTAGAAAATTAATATGGGGAAGAAGGCTAACTGTACTTACTGATAGCAAAGATGTTGCAAGTATAAAGGGAATGAATGAATCAAGATTGAAAAGATGGCTTAGTTTAATGGGTGAATATGAATATTGTATTAAACATATTGATGGTAATGAAAACTGTCTAGCTGATGCTATAAGTAGAGGAGAAATAAGAGTAGTAGAAACGATGAGAATACAATCTGAAAAGAAACTTAAACAAGATGAAAATGGAAAAATAATAATTGATGAAAAGAATATTGAACAATTTGTGAGGGATATTCATGTATGTCTATTACATAGTGGAATATCAAGGATGTACCAGACATTGAAAAGATATTACTCAATTAAAAATATTAAAGAAGTAATTGAAAGAGTTTGTTCAGAGTGTAAAGAATGTAAACTAAATAAAAATAGAAGAGTATATCATGAAACTGGGAAAGGAAGATTACATTGTGATGAAATTAACAGAAATGTTAGCAGCGACATAATTGGACCATTTTTACGTGAGGTTCGTGGTAGAGTAGTAAATTATTATGGTATAACATTTACTGACTTATGCAGTAGATATTGTAAGGTTTATTTCACTAGAAGAATAAGAGGAGAAGAATTAGTCAATGCATTTAAGAGTAAATGGATTAAAGATGTTGGAATTCCAAAATTGTTTTATTCTGATCAAGGACGTCAGTACACGTCTGAGGAATTTCAAAGATATTTAAAAGATTTGAACATTAAACAAAGGTTTAATACAGCTTATAATCCTCAAGGTAATGGTATATCAGAGAGGTTTAACCAAGAAATTGGTCTTGGACTAAGAATGTATGGTCATTTGTGTTTAGATGAAATAGAAGCTGCTATTGAATATGGACACAATAATAGTTATTGTCGAAGTATAGGAGCTTGTCCAATGGAAATTATGAAGGAAATGAATGAAATTGATATGAAGAGAAGAAGAATTAAAATTGATTTAAAAGAGGTAAATCGGATTGCTAAGGAAGGTAATAATTTGAATAAAGATGATGAACAAGTGGGACCTGAGAATAGATTTGATGTCCAAATCGGAGATGAAGTCTATATTAAAACTACAGTGCGTGGAAAAACGGATCCTTACCAAGAAGGTCCTTTTAAGGTAATTGAAATAAGTAAAGGTAAGAATGTATTATTTATTGATTTTAGAAGGAAACGTGAATGGGTAAATCTCAGAAGGGTGGTTATTTTTAAGGATCGGGGAAATTGTCGTATCCTCCAAAATGAGTAAATTGTTTATTTTAGTAACAAAGAATATTTAAATAGATTTTGATTGATTTGACAGGTGACATATTTAAAGAAAATATTTTATTTAACCCATAGAAATTAAATACAGGATGAGTGAGGAGTATTTAAGTAAGAGAGAGAGATGATATTAGAGATGAGTTAGATATAGAGAGTAGCCCTTATGCAGGGAGTAAGGAAGACACTTATGGATCTGGAAAGACTTAATAAACTTTGTTCTAATCACTCCTTAGGTTTCAGCAAATACAAACTTTAAATTGTTTTCTAAAAAAATCACCTGTTATAGAAAATGATAATGTTAAATGTGGTTTTTTAATAATTATTCTGTTATATATGATATTAAAGATATTATTATTATAGAATTTGTATGTATTAAATGAAGAAAAAGATATTATGAATCTATTGGGGGCTAAATTAAAGTTTTTCAAAATAAAAAGGTTAAAAAGTATATTTAATTGAAAAAATTGACATAATAGATGAATTAAGAAATTTTTTCATAGAACAAATTGATATTAAATTAACTATAGAAGAAATCTAATTGATTTTAATAAAGTTAACAAAATGTTGAATATATATGAAACATATAAATTTCTTTATTTAACGAATGTGATTATATTTTAATTGATGATGTAATGAACTATTTATTTTTGCCAAAAGAATTTAAATTATTTGATGAAATATAATTAATTAAAAGTTTGTTATTATAAAAAGATTATTTCATAAAAAGATTCTTTAAATTTATTTTAAGATTTTTTTTAAAGTATAATAAATAAAAATTTTGATTTTGTTAAAATTTAATTATTATACTTTTATTTAAAAAAAAATAACATAACACAAAACATTTTAGTAATAAATAACTATTATTTAATTTTTATTAATTATGAAACCTTTTTAAAACCAGATATTTAAAATTGATGTTGTTTTAGATTAATGGTTTTCAAAAGAATAAATCTTCAAAGTTGTTTAAATTATTTCTGTAATTTTACTGTGATAGATTTACCTTATAAGAAAATAACTATTAACGGTGAAATTTATTATATTGTATCATATGAAGATCATAATGGAAGGAAAGTGAAATTTAAAGTAAGTATTAAAGAGATAATTTGTGATTTTATTGGATTCAAATACAATGAAAATAATGTAATTGTAAATAAAACTGATACATCATTATTATCTAAAGAAATTAAATATAAAATTTATGATGATATAATTAGAAGTGATCAGGTACTTATTGAAAAATATAAAAGATTTATGAAGTTTTATTTGCTAAATATTAATTCAAATAACAATTTAAATATTTTATATAATGAATTTCATTTTGGTAAACCAAAAGAGTCTGATAATGAACATTTAAAAAATGAATTTATTGAATTGGTTATTTTAAGTAATTCATTTGATGGAATGTCTAAGTACTTTAGAAATATGATGAAAGAAAGTATTGATAGTTTTGGAATTTCAAATTTTATTGTGATATTTATTGGATTTATTCATGGTTTTATTTTAATAGGGTTATTCGTTTTTAAATTTATACTTTATAGATTTTATAAATCTTTTAATAGAATTGTTGAAAGTATGCAATACACAAACCATTTTCACAGTACTTTTAAAATGAATGAGAATAAAAAATCGAATGATTCAAAAACTTTGTTGAATGAAAATAATAAAAAATTAAAAACGAATTCGACTATAACTAATAAAGAATATAAATTAAAAGGCTATGATTTTGTTAATGAATTAAAAATTATTAGTTAAAATAAATTAAAAGATACTTAAATATTAATTTTTTATATAATTTTAAATAGTTGAATAACGATTTTTAAAAAAATTTTAATTAATATTACTGGTTAAATTAATTTTTTTTCTAAAATACAATAAATCTATATAAAAATAAAAATTATAATCTATATAATAAACACTTCTATGTATAACTTAATTTTTTAATTATATTTTATTACTAATTAATTTTTTAATTGGTTTAGAAACATAACTATTTCAATTA